GAGGTTTTAAAGAGTTGGAAGGCTTCAGTTTCCTGGACATCGACATCGACAAACAGAAATGTGTGTAACTCGCAGTTACTGCTCACATTAAGGGCAGGGCACCTAAAATCCAGCTCTTTGTGACAGATTTATTTGCCTGTACCTGGATACAGCCATGGCACATGATGCACGTTCTCCAGGGAAGTCTGTGGGGAAAAATTGGTAGTAAAGTGAAGGAAACAAGGAATTGTGATGTGTTGAGTACAAAAATCACAAAACTGTATTTTTAGTTTCCACCTAATAGTTTGGACTTCTATTGGACTTCATCTAGACACACAATTATTAAATACTTTTGGCAGAGATAACTTAATGATGGCACAGTTAAGCATCCAGAAGTCAGGCAATGTAACAGCTTGTTTTACTTTACTTTTAAAGCTAAACAGCTTGTTTAGCTTTACTTTTAATGTACAATTATTGGGACCATCCTATTTATATGCTTGTGTTATGTATCACTTTAACCAACCTTGTTTGTTGCACGTGAATTATGTGCAGTAATCAGATAAATGGGAAGGAAGAAACTTCCTGTAAGTGATTTTTTTTTTTTATTATAAAGATTTAGAACTTTCAATTTTTGACTTTCAATTAGTGCCATAGCAATAATTCTTGGGTGCATTTTGGGGTTAAATAGATTTGACAACTGGAAATACGATTGTCACTGAAATGGGAAATGAGCTTCAAAATGCTCATGTTGTGAGCATAATTTTTAAGGTGCTTGTATTCAAAGTATCATGTCAGGTATGTGAAACAGCATGAGAAGGTTGCAAACTTTGAAGTGTCTGGAAATTACTTATTCCCTTAGAGAATTACTTATTCCCATAGGTTATGGATACACAGGAAGATTTTAACGGAGTAGATGAAAAATGGTGGTGGATCCTGGAAGAGTYTGACAGCTGCAAAGAGATAATTAGTGTGTAAGTGTTTGGTAGTGGCTTTTTGCTTTGATTCCTGGTTTTCCAAGTAGTGATCAGAGGAGCTGACCAGGGACAGAGTGAAGTGACTGTCACTCAGGTGGCTTACTGTGATGTGAAGTTGTAAAAACACCTCTGGTTTCCACATACTGAASTACAATGAATTGGGCTACAGAGAGGTTTGGAATAGTGCATTTCAAATATTTAAGTATACCTTTAAAGTGCCTTGAGACAAGGTGTGTGGCATTGTAACCAATCGTGTCCCACTTGGATCTGAATTAATACAATGARTTGAAGATGCTGTAGATGGAAAAAGATATGCAAGAAAGTCAAGGGCTGGGATRTGMTGGATTTGACAAGAGCCATTCTGTGGTTTAAGTTTTGTACAGRTGTGCTTTKTTTTGGTCTTAAAAATAACTTTGTAAGTGACAYCTGGCTTGGAGGGAGGTATAAGTAGCATAGCATTTGATATGAAGGGTTTCCCAGTGAATTGTGGTTGGTTGTGTTGCAAGAACTTGTGGAAARTACCMYCAAGTCTRTGCYACTTTGAARGACAGTGATACCTTTCTAAATAGGAAAACACCTTCCTGAGGGACTTMATTTGAATAAATGAGTCACAAACACAACTGAGATGAAGAACTGTAAGATGAATGGCAAAACTATGGATAGTCAATCCATCAGGCTGGAGGCAAGCACACTTCTTCAGAGCCCTGAGATTTATAACTGGAGTAGTTATGAAAAGATTATGAACACTAAAGCTGTTAGATGATATGCATGCACAAGGTTTAAATATCCATTTTCAGTTAAACACCTGGGTTGTGCACACAGAGTCACTGGCTTTTTCATCAGGGACATGGCTCAGGAGTGTTATTTAATTCAAAACTGTCTTGTCTGAAATGCTGGGCTGTGATATCTATTCAGTCCTAATAGGGGATGGTGTTTGAGCAGTGTTTGAGTTATTTCAAGTTACAGTAAAACCCATAAAGGTCTCACCTCCTTGATTAGGAAATGTTGTGCAGTGCCCAGTTTATGCAATACTGCCCTAACTTGCTGGTTAAAATAAAATTCCAGCTTTTGTATGTGGCTGTAACGTGTCTGAAGTGTACTTTGGTTTGCTACCTTACCAGTGCAGTGCTGTTGTCATGCTTTGAGTAAGTGTGCCAGCAGTTCTGCTCTGTGCACAAAATTGACCCCAGAATGGGCTCTTTGTGGTCCATCCCTAGTGAGGCTGGAATGATCCAAGGATGGAGCTGTTAACTTTTAGGTCTAAATGCATGTTACTCAAAACTTGTGATCTGTTTTTCTACCTTTTTGGTGTGGTRGACAGTGCTGTGAGAATATTATTGAAAACATTGTCCATTAGCYTGCTGATACACTTAATAGCAGTGTAAGGGTATTGTGGGGAGAGGAGAGCTTAAAGATTTGTTTATTCTTCAAGTGGCTGAAGTTTAAAGTCAAAATAATATTATCCATTTGGGGTGTCTGCTTGCATCTGCAGTCTGTAATATGGTTGGCTTCAGGGACACTTAATTCATGCCAGCCTTCAACCTTTGAAGTTGGACTCTGCTTTGCTTTCATGCATCAATGAAGTTGTTAGCAAGAARTTGAATGTGGTTCTTGTACATTTTCATTGCTTGTTTACTCCAGTAGTAAAATGGTGCTCCAAATCAGCRACAAGGAACATAATTTCATTATTTTTACTGTTGGGGTATCCCTAATAACCAGAGATACTTTAATTCAGAAATGTTTAAATAAAATGCATCTATAGCTTAATCCCTCCTTTTTCTATGTAAGTCTTTCAACTGCTGTAAATTCAGAGACTTCTTGTGTAATTAGAGAAGCTTAACTAGTTTTGGCATCATCTTGGGTCACAGTTTCACAGATATTAAGCCAGAACTGCCACTGTGAGAAGCAATCTTATTATTTCAGTGTATTTGTTTGGGAGTGTGGTGTCTCTGGGATCCTTGTGCAAAGTAAATTTTAAGTTGAAATTTTGTTGAATTTTAAGTTGAAGTTTAAATTTTAAGTTTAGTGTTCTCRTCTGGCCTCCTGGGTGAGGAGTGTCAGTGAACCAGGGGAGAGGCATTCCCTCCCTTTATCCATTCCTTTCAGACCTCTGCAAAGTAGTAACTTGAAAATCTGATTTTTAGTTTCTTCTCCATTCTCAGTGCTAAATTACTACTGTAGTCTTACTTGCTTTTCCTAGTACTTTCAGAACTACTTAATTACCCTGGGTAGCTCACTAAGCTAAATAAATAGTTGCTACAGTGGTGGAATTATTGAATTCAGGTTTTCTATGGATTTGCACCTGGGAGTTATATTTTCTTGTCTAATGTGTGTTGATTTTGATTTTAAATTTCCTCTTTGAAAGTGTTATGAAGGTGTGCTTGCTTTCTCTGGTTATCTGGGTTCAGRTATCTTTAGTTTTGACCTCTCTGTTAAATATAATTGAAATAATGTACAGCTTTATCCCTGCCAATATTATTCAAAACTGTCAAACATCCAGATTATAATATGAGTCCTTTACCCCTGGAACCGAAGTAATTGCCCAGTGGACCCACTTTATGGGTCCAAGAAAAAAAAAAAAAACCTCTGAAAAACAAAGGTATAATTGCATTGAGGTTGTGAAGAAGAATGAGCCTTCTTCTGTCCACTAAAACTTTTTGTGGGTAGTCTGCCTATAAGGTCAGTCTACCTTTTGTGGGTAGTCTGTGCATTGCAAAGTTGTGGGAATTTTGTTTGGTTTTCTTGGGTTTGGTGGCAGAGTGTGTGTGCACTTGTTTTTTAAAGCTCACTGAAGTGTAATTAGTGAGTTTATTTGATGAGCTTATACATTAAAACTGAAATACTRTTTTATCATACCTTCTACCTCAGCCATTTTTGCCTTTGACTCCATTAAGATCCATAGGGAAATCCTTTAACTCTGGAAGGGCAGTGTTTGTAGCAGAATCTCAGAATTGATCTCTTCTGCATGTTGTAGAGGARCTTTGTAGTGCAGGCCCATAGAATATTGCTTCCTATATCATGAACCCTTGATGAGTTCTTAGTTTGTGTCAGATTTCTCAAACCCYAAGCCTATAAAATATTCAAGAACTTGACTATGTAATCCTTTGTACTGAATGACTCATATCTGRAAAGATGAATTAAAAAATTTGACATGTAAACTCTCTGGATACCCTTAACATTTTGGTTCTAGGATATTTTGCACTGCTTCTTAATTAAGGTCCTCAGGAGAGAGCAGAAAGGCAGTTTGGCATATGTCAGAAAATGCCTTGATACCTCCTTGGGACCATATGCAGTTTTAAAAAAAAGATTAAAAAAAAGATCCTTTATAGTTGCAGAACAAAAAGATCTCAGCTTAAAAGCAAAGCAGTGAAGCAAAGGATAGTGCTCTGGCTAAATCATTGTAGCCAAAACGAATGGTTTCATGTTGTAATTCTACAGTTCCTGTGACAAGGAACTGCTCTTTGAATAGAGATTTCGATTATAGATAAGGTCACACGAGAAAGCAGAATTAGACTGGAACAGGTWGCCCAGGAAGCTGTAGATGTCCCATCCTGGAAGTGTTCATGGCCAGGTTGAATGGGGYTCTGAGCAATCTGGTCTGGTGGGAGGTGTCCCTACCATGGCAAAGGGGTTGGAACTATGGGAACTTTAAGTTTCCCTCCAACCCAGACCATTCTGTGACTTACAGCTTCTACATTTGTCCAGTTTTTGGTTTTGCTAATACAGCTTTTATATACGGATGGATCCCTGGGTTATCAATAGCTACCTCGATTGCAGTATTGGGAGACCATGATGATTTATATCTTTCAGCTTTTTTCAGGAAAAGAATTGTTTGTTGAGGCAACATGCTGCTGCAAGACTGGGCTCACCAGCAGATGCTCTTGCACAGGAGTGAGTGGGAGAGCACTCTCAGCCTGGTGCAGACAATCTTTGGCATCTGATCCAGGTAACCCAACCCTAACCCACACAGGGGTGATGACCTGTGCTAGGAGGAACTTGTCTGCAATTCACTTTGTATCCACTTAACTTTCACCATCAAAACACACTTGTGGTTCTTTTATCAAGCAYAGCATAATTAGATCTCTATCTTCTCTTTGGAAATTATGTTCTATTTTGAAGTGTACCATTGGGCATTGGGAGCCAGGGAGGTGAGTGCTGTCTTGCAACATAGAGGCATTTCTCATACTTTCTCACTTCCTTAGTGAAATTGGGATGTAGTAATTTGTGAATCTCAGCACAATACAAGGAGAACAGGATATCTAGAGGATTTCCCTGGTCATTCCTTTTTGATTTTCTGTAGAGTGATGTTCCCCTTATTTTGATCTAAAGGAGCTGAGGACACGCTTTAAAGTGACAGCTCTGGCTTGTGCACTGATTGTATAATTATTGCTCTTTAACTCCCAAATACCTGCTTCCCTAAAACAATTCCTGCAGACCCCAGTAGASAGAGACCTTGATTTCTTCTGAAACCAAACTGATGGATTTTTTTTTTCCTCTTACCAGGAAAAATAGCCTTTTTCATTTTCCTATGACAGTCTTATCAGGTTACTTTGATAGGCCTCAGTAGTTAATACATGCAGGTAACAATCACAAAGGTAAGCTTTGAGTTACATTTCGTGCAGTCATTTTATTAGGTAAATACAAAAACAGAATAGAGCCATTCCAAGGGGGAATAAAGAAAGGGCAGTGTCTCTTGATCTCAAGGACACTTTGCTTGTCATGAAAAGCTTGGATCAAGTCCCTCATTGTTTCAGAACTATAGAAGAGATTAAATYCTGTTAAACTTAAATTTTCAGAACACAAAGTATATTTTAATTTCTGAGGGTGACATTGCATTTAAATTAAAATCAATATTTTAGGTTGATGTTGTAAARGCTATTAACTACCTAAACCTTGAGGGAAGCTTGGTACTAAATAAATATAAGCAATGAGTTGCTGCTTCTTCATCTGTTTTAAGAATTTGGACTGTGCTACATTTTCTGTGCATAGGACATTCAGCTGAGTTAAATGATCATATTTCATGAGTGAACTTAAAATACATTTGCCTCTGAGCTTATAAAGCACATATGTCTTCTGCTTTGGAGTGTTGGTGAAGAAATTTCACCATGAAGAAGCATTGCTTGATGTGGAAGAAGTAAAGGGAAACCCACTGTCAAAGCTCTGGTCATACAACAGCTGAGGGGAAGAAATGGAGAGAAGTAAACAGTCCTCAGTCCACCCTTTCATCAATCCACCTAGGCAGTATTTTAATTTTCTTTTTAATTCACAAAGCCCATATTTTCAGCAGCCCTTAAGAAGACCACCTTGGTGGTGCTGCCAGCTTGAGCTGTTTTGTGGAGTATCAAGTAAAAGGCAAAGGTTTCTGTCCTTCAAGAATAAGAATGGGAAAAAACTTCAGTTTGCCATATTTTCATGGTATGATCTATTAGTGGAAATCCCAGAGTTTTTTACAATTGTTTAACAGATTTAGCCACATCTTTTCAGTGGAGCTCAAAATAAATGAGCTGATTAATTAGGTAATGTGTGCAGCTTTGCTTTTTCYTATTGGTACCACAAAAGTGGGAGCATTGGTTGAGTGGTAAACTTTGCTAAACTTCA